TCGATCGTATTTTCAGAAACTTCATTAAAAAGTTTATCAAAGTAACTCACCCACCTATGTTGAATATCTTTTTCTAAGAAAAGTACTTTTTGATTTTCATCTTTAATATACTTTACTTGAGTTAAATCTTTACTTTTCTTTTCTCTTTATTTGACTAGTTTATACATATATTTTTCACCCTCCTTAGTATCTAATCTATTATAAAGATCATTAAAAGCAGAATTTTTAGCATCACAGAGTGTTCTTTTAGACTCTGTGTGGGCCGTTTGATATTTTTTCCAGTTCTCTAAGCTTTTATATTTAAACCAATTTTTATAACATAACTTCTTATATTTTATCTTTTCTTGCACATTATTATTCCACCACCAACTATTTTTCTTTATAAAAATTTTTTCTTTTGATTCTCCAAGCACATCTTTTCCTACTTATTTAATAGTGTTTGTTACTTTATCCCACATAATATTTGTTTCTTCATGAATATCCCAAATTTTGAAATCTTGAATTTTACTCATAAAAATAATTTTATTTGTGTCTTTTAACTTTTTCCATCTAATTCTACGATGATGAGTCCTAATATTTTTTTATTTTACAACTCTTAATTTTAAAATCTAAAACTAATAAAAAATGTTGAGTACTTAAATTCTCACTTTGAATGACCTTACAATTTTTACAATCGCGACGATCTCTTCTTCTCATAAGAAAATAATCAATCTGTGTTTTGTTAAATCCACTCTTTTAAGTAATAAGATGCTCATCTCTTTTTTTGAATAAAATATTAGTAATAACAAAATCATACGCTAAAACAAAATCTAAAATAGCGCTAACTTCTACATTAGTTACTCTAAAACCGTAGCCACCATGATTATTTCTAAAGTCTTCTACCACTCTACCGGCATGTCCATTTAAATCTCCTCCAATAAAAATTCTTTCTTCAAGAGGTATCATTTGTATTAAGTCTTCTAAGTCATTCCAAAATTTATTTTTAGACCCTGTATCTAAACCTACTTGAGGAGCATAACCACTTATAATATTGAAAATCTTAATATCAATGATAATCTTAAGGTTTATAATTTTATCTCCAACTCTATTAATTTTTTACAACATTATCTGTCAAACTCTTATCTATAATTACACCTACACCATTTCTAGTGCGATTCTTACCAGAATACCAAAGTTTAAAACCTAAATTATCAATCTCCTTAGCCTTTTCTCCCACCCACTTAGTTTCTTGAATACATAAGATATTAATTTTCCTATGAATCATAATATCAACTAATTCCATTAATTTACCATTGAGAGTGCCGATATTCCAAGATCCTATCCTAATATTAGTTTCATGGACTGACTAACTTCTTTACTAACTTCTTTACCCGCATTCACTCGTAATGTGGGAATCCTTTCTTATTTAACACTACACCCGGGCGCTGGTGTAGCAGCCCTTGCACACTTTTCACTGTATTCAGGCTATACAGCGCGTCGCTTCTAGGGGACGCTCTAGCACTTCGACAATAAAAATTATTCAACTCAATATGCACTTGCAAAAAGATTTCTTCCAGAAAGCTCTCAATAATAGCTTTTACAAGTAGCAGTTTCATATTAGGTCCATGATTTTATCACTAACAAAGAACTTGTTTTCATTAAAACTTTTAGTAATACTTCTAATGCATCAAATTTGTTCAAATGCTTAATATCTTCAGTATCTGCTATCTTTTACTATAACTATCTTATTTACTTTCTCCTTATTTAGTAACTAGCGTAATATAATAATCACAAAAATTTAACTTTTAATTTGATCATTGCTCAATTTGATGGAATTATAGCTTTAGTGTGATCCTTATAAATCTTATTAGTATTTAATTTTTGTTACTCCTTAAGCATACAATTCTTTTCTCTTATAACCCTTTGTACCCGAACGCTTCATAACCAAGCTAATGATTTAAAAACTCCTATATGATCGAGCAAAAAGATACAAGATCGAAGTTAAGAAAATTAAGAGGTGAAATCATGATTATGGAGAAGTGTGAATTCTTCGCAACTAGATCAATTAGCAAAAGATCTCGGGTTCATAACTTGGCATTTTATTTACCAAGCTTTGCAGAGAGACAGGTTTTCCAATTCAATATTGCAAGTTACATTGGGCAGGGCAATTTCCCATTTGATTGTTAAAATTGAGAATGTGTCGACAACTAATGATTGCCATGCTTCGTGAAATGAATCTACTTGCATTTGTAACTCTTATGCATAGAATGATATGAACATATTTTTTATTTCAAA